TTTGTAGTTTTGGTAGAGATGGGGTTTCACCATGTTGACCAGGATGGTCTCGATCTCTTGACCTCGTGATCCACCCGCCTCGGCCTCCCAAAGTGCTGGGATTACAGGCGTGAGCCACCGAGCCCGGCCCTATTACATATTTTTGAAAATTTTTAGTGTGCCATGTGAAATTTCATATAATGTACAAATTAAATCAGTCTCATGAATAAACTGTTAGATTAATTAACTAATTAGAGATTTGTGAATAAATTGATATCAGAGTTCTTCTATGATGTGAAACATATCAATTATAAATCTGAAGCATTAATTACCATTTATGAATCTCAAGAACATTAGGAAAAAGAAAAGCCAACTCTAGAACATGAAAAGATGAGACTACATATCAGAAAGGTTTGTGTTGTTGTTATTTATAGTGATACTGATTCATACTCTTACCCTGTATAATGAATTGTTCTTTTGTTTCTAGTGTACAATTTGTAACTTACATCAGAAACATTCAAAAGTAGTTTCATCAACAATATAACATCTGTAAAATTTCATCAGGAATATATCTTTGTCCATGAGGCTGAGCAGCAAGTAGAGTCGGCTTTAAAAAACAAAATGGTGCCACATTAACCCAAGAAATAGCACTGACTTGGAGATTAAAAGCAGTGCTCAAGGTGGTGGGGGAAAGCCAGGAACTTCAGGTTGGAGCTGATGGAAAACAGGAACCAAGAGAGGCATCTAGCTAATGCACAAGGAGGAAGCCATCTTGCTAAGGTAGGACTGGGGCTCCCTCCTGGAAAAGGAGTAATTTAACCTGGAAAATGAATTTAAAGCTGAAGAACAAGTCTAGTGAGATGAGACGACTAGACCTCAAATCCAAGCCTCTGAGCAGAGGTAACAGAGGTTCATCAAGCAGTTAAGCAAAGAACCACTACCATCAGATTTTTGTTTGTTTGTCAAAAAACATATCTTGTGCTGCCTTGAATTTAAGCAATCTTCATTTAGTGATGAAGGCTGAAGTTGTAACACTGACACATTCATCCATGTCACCTGCATGGTCATCCAACATACTGCCTTTCACTTGTTGAACAAACAACAATAACAACAAATATTCATTGGGTGCTTACTATGTGTGCAACTACCTGAATGTTTGTGCTCCCTCCCCAATTAATAGGTTAAAATCCTAACCCACAAAGTGCTGATATTAGGAGGCGGGGCCTGTGGGAAGTAATTGGGTCATGAGGGTGGAGCCCTCATTTGGTGCCCTTATCAAAGCGACTCCAGAGAGCTCTCTCCTCTCTTTTCTCCATGTAGAGATACAAGTAAAAGTCAGTAGCTTGCAATCCAGGAAACAGCCCTCACCAGAACCAGCCATGCTGGCACGCTGATTTCAGACTTCCAGCCTTCAGGATTGTGAGAAATAAACGTCTGTTTTTCAAGCCACTCAGGCTACGGTATTCTGCTAAGTAGCCAGAAAAGACTAAGAAAATGTGCCAAGACCAAGTGCTTGCTGTTCAAAGTGCTCTATAGGTTGTAACCCAGCAACCCTATGAAGTAGATACTAGTGCTATTTCTGTTTTACAGACAAGGAAACCAAAGTAATGGAGATTAAGGACATTTCCAAAGAACACGCAGAAGAGAAAGGAAGAGAACTAGTTTTCTTTGTTGTCTATGCTGCCCTCCTAGCTTGCCCTTTGGACACAATTTGGGGGCAGAGAAGGGTAAGACAAAGGGCTTGGAATAGCTCAAAGGATCATGCAAAAAGACTGGGAAGAATACAGACACAAGGAATTCCCACTTACATGGCCTTTAATCATTGATTAAAGTCAGATAGTTTGACTACTGGTGAGGGTAGGAGAGCAGTCACTGGTCAGTGTGAAGCTGATCAAGGCTCATTAGCAGGAGAGGGACTGGCTGTCTCACCTGGATGATTCTACATTATGAGTGTGCAGTTGTCCCATATATGGCAAGACTGTTAGCACCAGGCCCTGTTCTAGGTGTGGCAGCATTACCTTGTCAATGTGCCAACGAGTGTGCCAACTCCATTCATTCCTAGTTACCCCAGGGGCTCCCTAAGAACCCCTGAAGAGAACCACAGGTCTAAATGAACAAAGTCAGTGGGGATACAATGAAAAATGTAGGTCTCCTTAGCACCATGTTCTAAGATATAAAGT